TTCGTGATAAGTTATTCGATTGAATTGAAGTCTAAATAATAGTAAAATTAATTACATGAGCATTTAATTATAGAGCAACGCATTAATATAACCTGTCAACACTTATAATTAAATCCTTTCATTTAGATAGGTAAATTAGTATTATTGGTAGAATTTCAGATTGTATAAATAAAGTTTTTTGAGCATGCAAATCATATTCAAAAAGAGTTGTAGCTACTTTTTTTATAATTTAAATTCAAGTCTCGCAACTTAATGCGCTATGTAGTAACAGTAAATGGTAGGTTTCTGAGTAAGTCTATCCTATGTAGTGTCACCAGCCGGTCACGGTAGCCGAGCGGTCTAAGGCATGCACTGTCTTCGCTCGCTCGGAAGCCGGGATCGTGGGTTCCAATCCCACTCAGGGCATGGATGTTTGTGTGCGTTTTTCTGTGTTTGTGTACAGGTAGAGGCCTTGCGACGAGCTGATCACCCGCCCAAGGAGTCCTACCGTATGTGTAAGATCTAGAAAAACCGAAGTGAACGGAGAAGTTCATGGAGGTAGGCCTAGGCCCACTGGGGCTGTAGTGCCAAGGAAAAAAATGTAATGTCACCAACATATCATTACGCCTAATGCTTAGGTGCCAAAGTCAATTAGATCGACTAAAAGAAATGCTTAAATTACCAATTTCGACCGGGTCAATCCTTCACATAAAATATCCGCCATTTTGTATTGTTACACGCAAGTGGCCACTGACAACCGTGGAGAGCAATTGCGGTGCTGTGACGGAACCTCTAAACGTTCCATTCCTGAATAATCAAAAGTTCTGTTCACAGAATTTAGTTCACACGGAAATTTCGAAGATTTTATAAAATTCAGTGACATATAGGCTGGCAATGGACGAGTTAAATCAAGCAACTCTATTCTACCTTTGAAAATTGTTTTCCTGACGTCCTTTTTTATCGTGTTGTTTATTTAACAACGCTGTGAGTGATTAGTCTAGATGGCGTAAATGAACGGACGGTTAACGAGTGTGGAGAGTTTGTGAAACGAGAACTGGAAGGAAAAAGCGAAGTTTTCAGAGAAAACCAGTCCGAATGCCACTTTGTTCACCACAAGTCCCACATCACCAGTCCATCAATGAAACCCAGGTCGCTTCTGTGGAAAACCGATGAGCGTCTAACTGCCTCAGATATGGCATGGCCTCCTGAACTTCCAGCAAATTTCTGGGATATTGCATTAATCACTGTGGGCCACGATTTCTTTGTTTCATTCTTACAGAAAGGACGAGCAGTTCCTTTCAATTAGTTGGGGAACGAGGAGTGTCAGCTCGGGCTATATTTAAGTGAGCGCCATCCAGCATTTTTTAACTTCCTTCATCATATGATTGGGAAAAAAATAAGTTTCTCCTGTTACTTGTAGGTCCATATCTTTTTATAGTAACTAAGAACTAACCTTTGATTAAGCGCTACAAATTTTCGAAATTGACAAAGAAGACACAAAAATTATTCTTGACTTTTGCATGTTTAAATATGTTTAAACGAAACGTATAGCAAATTCCTTATAGGTAAATATTTGTCTGACAATTTTCTTATCCAGATTGGTCTGAAACAAGAAGATGCTTTATGGTCAATCCTTTTCAAATTTTCTTTAGAATATGCCATCAAGAACGTGCAGGAAAACCAGGTGGGACTGAAATTAAATGGGGCATATCAGCTGTTGGTCTAAGCTGATGATGTGAATCTACTGGGTGATAATGTAGATACCATAGAGAGAAACACACAAACTTTAATTGAAGCTATTAAGGAAGTTTGTCTAAAAGTAAACACAGAGTAAACTAAGTATATGTTGCTGTCTCTTCACCAAAATGCAGGGCAAACTCATGACATAAAGATGGGTAACAGGTGTTTTGAAAGTGTGGCAAGTTCAGATATTTGGGAACGACAATAACAAATCAAACCCGGATTCGGGAGGAAATTCAGAGGAAATTGAACTCGGGTAATGCTTGCTACCATTCAGTCCAGAAACTCTTGTCTACTCGTCTCCTGTCTAAAAACATAAAAATTAAAATACATAATTTTAATTTTGCCTGTTGTTCTGTATGGGTGTGAAACTTGGTCTCTGACATTAAGGGAGGAACATAGACTGAGGGTGTTTGAGAACGGAGTATTGAGGAGAATATTTGGACCGAAGAGGGATGAAGTGACAGGAAGTTGGAGAAAACTGCACAATGAGGAGCTTCATAACTTGTACTCTTCTCAAAGTATAATTAGAATGATCAGATCAAGGAGGGCGGGGTATGTTGCGCGAATGGAGGCGAAGAGGAATACAAATAGGATATTGGTGGGAAAGCTATAAGGAAAGAGACTACTGGGAAGACCAAGGCGTAGGTGGGTGGACAATATTAAAGTGGATATTAGAGAGATAGGATGGGATGGTATGGATTGGATTGATCTGGCTTAGAATAAGGACCAGTGGAGGGCTCTTTTGAACACAGCAATTAACCCACCTAAGGACGCGATAAGGAACCATAATTCTCAAGGTTCTTCTTGTAGTATTTGTAGTGAATGTTCTCATCATGTTTCAGTACTTGAGAATGGAAATTACTTTCATTATGAAATTAGGAGAGCAAATCCAGGAATATTTTTATTGTTCGGAAATGTAATATACTTTCCAAATCGCTGAAGATCAAGATTTACAATAAAATAATTTTGCCAGTTAATGTATATGTGTGAAACATGATGTTTTACTTCTACAGAACACAAATTGCAATTGTTTGAAGGCTATATTCTCAGAAGAGTATTTGTACCTGAGAAAGAAATATTTGCTACGCAGTTGAGAGTATTACACAAAAGGAAACTTCGTAATTTATGCACAGAATTCACGTATTTGTGCGGGAAAAATGAGGTGCTAATCGCAGCTCATTGCAATAACAATACACTAATAGCAACTAGCTGTTCTTTTCTACAACAAAAATCAACATGCCTTTCCTGTCCTCTCCATTCTAGTCACATATCAGGCTAAAAATATTTGCGAATATCCAGTCGGAAGACCTAGAAGAAAACGAGAGGATAATATCAAGATGGATAGGCTGTGAGAATCAGATTTAGGCAGAACTTGTTCAGAATGGTGTTCGGTTGCGAACTTTGGCGTTAGCGGTGTCAGCCTTCGGACATTTAAGCTCAGTTAAGTAGGTGTTACCTTGAGTATCATAAATATTTGAAGGCATATGATTCAAGAACTTTGTACTCCACACTGGAAGAGTTCGCGTTGACAGGACTTTCTCTAAACTACGTACGAGCAAGCAGAAGTTGATAAAAGGCTGTAGGTTCATTGTTGCATTAAAAATATATCTCACAGGAGATGCCGGATTTGATTAACCCACCCTCCCATGGCCAGTGCTGTAGAATAATTCCTGCATTTTTAAATTTTTTTTAAAACGAAAGGAATTTGCACAGAATCTGTAAATGACAGCTTTAAACTGCCCCAGGTGAATGAACGATTTATTGGAGGGGGGGCCCATCATACTTGTATCGTGAATATCTCTAGAGTGCTTGGCAAGGTAATGAAGTTCTAGGGACTGCCCTACAAGCAAATTTTATAAAAACGTTAGGTTTCCTGGGTTGTTTCGCTTTGTAATACGAAGGATCGTATGCGACTTTTCGGAAAAAAAAGTTCTGCCTCTTCTTCGGGTACTTTTACATTCTGAAAATTGAGGCAGAGCTTTCCTCCAATATATCGATACCATCTACCATATTACACGGCGTCGCAGTCCAAAAGATATTTGTCTTCATAATCACAGCATTGGAACTAAAAATTTCATAGTGTCTAAAAAAATACAGATATTGATTCATTTTCTTTGTGTTTCCCAAAATGTCCTAAGCTTGAATCTATGTTTCATGTAAACTACTTCTGGCTGCTTTAAAATTCCGCTTAATTTCAAGGTAAATGTTATTGCATAGGTATATAAAGTTTACTGCAATGCAATATGCCCTTACAAACAAAAAAAACTCAATGGCCTATAGTCCGCAAGCGAACTGTACCGACTGAGCGACCACCGCTTGTCGACGAAGTTAGTGCCAACTTTTGCGGATAGAGGGTATTGCGTGGTCACCGCGACGGATACACACTGCCGTTAATTTCAGTTTTCTAGACCGGAATATGGACTTACAGATTGAGAAATAACATGTCCTCCTATTACAAACTTAGTGAAGCTGACATGTTTTACGGCAACTGTGAAATTACATACGAAGTTATGATATTTTTTAAATATTTATAGATTTTATTTTACATTTACACAGTGCACTGGCTATTGCGTAATATTTATGTCTGAGGATTGAAGAAAGAAATAGGTAATAAAGGGACTGGGAAAAGAGAGAAAGAAAGAAAGAAATAGCAAAATAAAAAATACAAGAAAGAAAACAAAACGAAAAAGAACAAGCAAAATATAAAACGAATCAGACGACAAAGGAACTGGAGAAACACAAAGACAAGGGAGAAAATAAAAACAGAGAAAAATAATATAATAGAAGGAATCTAACAAGGATAGTAATATACCGATGAGGCCCTTAATAAGTGAATTTAACGCCAATCTCTCCGTCAATAAAATGTTCTGTAAGACTGCTCGTAGGTCGGCGCCATAGCTCAAGCGGTTAGCCGCTGGCTTCCCACCGCGGTGGCCCGGGTTCGATCCTGGGTCTGGTCAAGTGGGATTTGTGGTGGACAAAGTAGCGCTGGGGCAGGTTTTCTCCGAGTACTTCGGTTTCCCCTGCCAATTGCTCCACAATCACCCTCAAATATCATCTTGGGCTGGTACAATAGGCCAGAAGTGACAGCAGTACAAGAGACTTAGTCCCACCTCACTAGCAATAAAATGTTCTGCACGTATGCAGAGGTTGCTCTGTCTCTGCCTGCAGAGACCGAGTGCGTTATCGCAACGAGCTGCAAGGAAGCTAATTGGAAATGAAGTCAGATCAGATCTTAAAATAACTCAGGTGTGAAAGTTTGATAGTTTTTGTTTCAGGAGCTTCTGGGAGAGCTGTACGCCTTCGCCCGAGGACAGTGATGCTCCATCTTCCAGCAGCAAGAACGCCCTCCACCTGCCCCCTTTTCAGTTACTTTTGATAAGGGTTCTTCAGCAACATTTGCCAGCTGCCTTTCTTTACCTGCCAAACAAAAGGTGAAACAGAGGGTCGTGTTTGAAAATATAGGGTGGAGGGTAGTTTGAAGGTAATTTAGTTGTACTCAGGTGAGCCGTGAGGGAAAATCATAGCGGGTCTTACGTGGTGCAGGGGACCCCTTAGCCTGCCTAATACTTGTCGGTCCAGGGTCTGTTCCTTCCAAACAGCTGATCGCTCTGTTTGCCACCCGTTTTCATGCTAGTATCTTGCTCGACTTATTCATCTTCTGAAGAAGTAGGCGATATATTCCTCCGAAATGTCGGTTGACTTTCAATGGACTTAAGCTAAGCTTAAGCTAGCCCTTGCAACAGGCCGTGGAGGCCCATAGGATTGTGAGACGTCGAGACTCCCGCATTTTCTGGAAAATTGGCTCACAGATGGCGTTATAATACTCTTCATTATCACTGGTGTGAGGAACTCAGATCCTGCATAGCTCACAGTTATCCCGACAATTAATAACGACCACGCTTATATCAATCCCAAAAACTTATGCAGTTAAACGTATATGTATCACAGTCTGTCAATAATGCAACAATTATTAAAATATTCACCATTCAACGCTTAACATGTTTTGGCCATAAATGGCCATCTTCGGGTGTTTCAATGCGTCCAAACTGCTACACTGCTTTGATGTGCGCTGAAATCGCGAGTTGCAGTCCACTTAAAATAATATAAGTACGTAATTACTTAAAATCCATTAATTTTTTTTTATTACGATCTTTCGTAAAATCCTATTCCACCTCATAAGGGGCGTCGTCCACTTATTTAAAGCTATGTGATAATCCAGACAGTTCCTTTCAGAATATCTACGTTCGTTTGTTTCACCCACTTGCAGTAGCCATGTATGTGACTGACTCCTGTCTGGCTCCCTTCACGACAAACAAACAGTGTNTCCACCTCATAAGGGGCGTCGTCCACTTGTTTAAAGCTATGTGATAATCCAGACAGTTCCTTTCAGAATATCTGCGTTCGTTTGTTTCACCCACTTGCAGTAACCATGTACGAGTATGTGACTGAATCTTGTCGGGCTGCCTTCACGACAAACAAACAGTGTAATTTATTTAGGAAGTGACTGATTGTCTGAGAGATTCACACAAATTCATTAAAAACTTCAGTACTCAACTGACTGCCTGTCAAATCAGCTATCTTGCTAAATTAAGCGTATTCTAATCAACTTGGCTCACTAAGTGAGCGGGCAGTTGACCGCCCAACCAAATAAACTCTCAAGAAAGAGAACTCGAATATTGAGACCACTAATAGACAAAGAGCCGTTCACGGTAGCCGAACGGTCTAAGGCATGTACTGTCTTCGCTCGCTTGGAAACCGGGATCGTGGGTTCGAATCCCATTCAGGGCATGGATGTTTAGTTTGCGTGTGTGCGTTTTTCTGTGTTTGTGTACAGGTAGAGGCCTTGCGACGAGCTGATCACCCGCCCAAGGAGTCCTACCGAATGTGTAAGATCTAGAAAACCGAAGTGAACGGAGAAGTTCATGGAGGTAGGCCTAGGCCCACTGGGGCTGTAGTGCCAAGGAAAAAAAATAGAAAAAGAACCCAGCGTTTGATTAGATTCTTAGCCACTTCAGCGTAGCTCACATCATCACGGTCTATGATGATTTTAATACAATTCCACGAGTTTAATAACCAAGTGCTATTCTGATGAACATTGTTCACAATGCTTCTCGTTGCCAACTTCTCCAGTCTCAATGAATGGAATCCATATATCCAACTTACAAATCCATTGGAATTCTAATATTTGCAACAACAGATTTATTAACGGCTGTTGGAATTCATAAAGCAAGGAAATCCAAATGCCTCTGTGCATTTACATTTAGCAAATCTCCCTCTCCAAGCGGTGGAGAACTCACTCGGAATTGTAAAGGGTTTGAATAAATGCTGGAATTTCATTACAGTTTTACACTTAAGCTGTTGATGTAGCGACGTTACATGCACCACTGTATGCAGAAATCAGATTACAGTTACGAATGAAAAATCTGAACCTTCGTGCGCACAAAATCTTATTCAAAGAAGGCCATAGTGTAGGCTACATTCGAAACATTTCTCTCAAGATATGTAAAACCCTTTAATTCATTAGACCACCTACTAACGTAACTGTGTGTTGTATGATGTATATTCTACAAACAGGATGGTGGTTTTTCATCCACCTTCAAGAGACTGGTTACCATAGCATTGACAGATTTTCTCATTTGCTCTTAGATTATTGGCGATCGTTATGATGAAAACAGAGGAACCAGGATAGCGCAGTCGGTATAGCGACTGGCCACGGCTGGACGACCGGAAATAGAGTCCCGGTACTGTAAAGAATTTTCACCCCGCCAATTGCCCAGACGGGTTCTGGGGTCCACCCAACCTCCTATAAATTAGGTGCCGGGGGCTCTTTTCCGGGGGTAAAGCAGCCGAGGCCTGAAGCTGATCACTCACCTCCAACTAGTGCCGAGGTCAAGAAAATGTGAATATATACATCCACTCCTCCAGACGTCTTCATGGCGTAGTGCTTAATTAGTTAAGCGCAGGGAAAACTTAGCCTATTATGACAGAATCTGAGACCTTTAATTATCAAAAGTTAATATGCCAATCACTATAGTCCTGCGGAGATCTAATGATCCTTGGTCCTGCCTGCGTGTGGCGTAGCAACCTATTGCGCTATTGCTGGCACAGCGTCATTTCAGCTTCAGACTCTGTCAGGAAGATTGCGGCAATGGAACAGCGTTCGCAAGCAAAGAGCCTCGCAAACACTTGACTGTTTCCAGGTGGACAGGACCTGCAGAGTCATGACGGTACACATTCTTGGGCCGTTCCTCTTCTCTGGCGGTTAGTGTACTAGTGTATGGTGTTGTGAGCCCCACGCCCAACCCCCAAAGCTGGAGGGCCACCCCTTGTCAATATATATTCAATATATTCGCAGCTTCCCTCCAAAACTGGAGGGTGTCTCCTTCACCTGCAATCTGAGGGCGCGCCATGCCGTGGTGACAAGGGACCCACCTAACATGGCATAATATTCAGTCGAAACCAACCACATGAAGACGGGAGCAGAAGTATCTCCCGAAACATCATGTAGGCCTGTACATAATCTAAGTCAGACAATGAACAACTTAAATCATAATGTTGGTATAATATTCAATGAAATTTAGTCGACTTAAGACACTACTGCAATTAACTCCCAAAAGTCGAATAGGCCTATATCAAATACAGTCAGGCAATGGATTGTTTATATCATAGCACTGGTGTAATATTCAACTATGAAGACAAGAGTAAGACAAACTCCGAAACGTCCAGAAAGTTGGCAATTGCCATTGGATGGGAGGATGATTTTGTATTACATCCGATATGCACGAGAGGGGAATGCCGAGATTTTCACCACATTTCTATCACATAATTTTCGCGGCTCCTCTACATATGGTTGGCACTACATCCACAGTGGGACGGACTGGATGAAAAGGTCTTAATATTCTTGCGCAATGTTCCGCAGAAGTTTTCAGTTTCACCTCGACGTTGCAGTGCCTGTTTAACGATTAAGAAGACATGGCCCCTTGTCTCCTACTCCTGCCAAACTCTTGCTTCATTCTCTGTTCTCACTGTTTTATTGCCAACTAAAACTCACGACAATTACCTGTATAAATATTCAATTGGACACCGTGAAATTCTCTATCATTTGAAAAATTGATAGGCAATTAGCCTAGTTACCTAAGGCTGCCGCACACGGACAGAATCGAACTTAATCAAATCCAATAAAGTCTAACTCGCTAAGAAGTTGCAAAAGAAACCCCGCTCAGCTCATATGAAGGGTATGCAGGAATCCTAGGCAAAATAAATGGGTCTCCCTTTGTAGCATCTTAGCGAGTTAGTCGACTGAATCTTTGATGTGGTCAGTGAGCAAGAACTCACTATTACTGAGTAAGTCAAGTTCAGAATTTGTTGAGATTTATATCACCCTTAGAGAGCAACCCCTCCGCACATCTCTGTTGCTGGTATTATAACCTTTATGCGTTGATGGTACAAGTGAGCCCGTCACAGAGGCCGCGCTGTCTAAGGTCTAATGCCTTCGTCCGCTCGAACACTGGGGTGGTGGGTTTGAACCCCACTCGAGGCATGTGTGTCTATCCTCCTTTCTTCCGTGTTCATGTCCTTGCGGCAGGACTGGTCCCCCCATGCAAGGAATCCTACCGACTGCCTATAAGAAACACTTCCAGATAATTCTGATGGGCAAGGGAACAGAGAAAGTAATACGAAAGATAGAAAGAGAATAATAAATATTGGTGGGTAAAATAAGCGTGTAGCCGGTCACGGTAGCCGAGCGGTCTAAGGCATGTAGTGTCTTCGCTCGCTTGGAAACCGCGATCGTGGGTTCGAATCCCACTCAGGGCATGGATGTTTAGTTTGTGTGTGTCCGTTTTTCTGTGTTTCTATACGGGTAGAGGCCTTACGACGAGCTGATCACCCGCCCAAGGAGTCTTACCGAAGTGAACGGAGAAGTTCATGGAGCTAGGCCTAGGCCCACTGGGGCTGTAGTGCCAAGGAAACAAACAACAACAAAAATAAGCATGTGATGGTGTTAGTTTTCTGTCAACTTGCTCTTAAGTCGCACCTCCAATAAGTTTACTACTGAACATACATCCACGAAAAGCTGTTCTGGGAGGGTTTGGGCAATAGCAAATATTTTAGGAAAATTTAAGTTTCCTACATTTGAGATTCTCTCATCGGCGCCCATAAATATGACTGTCTTCTGGAATATGACGCCTTGAAATATGGTTGACTGTTGCCACTTGTCTACCCTGAGAATGGAGGCAACTCGGTCCTCCCAGACGTCAGCAACGATGTCAGGCTACAACGCGTTGCATCACGGAAGACTGCAATCTTAAAATTCATTTTTGGTTCTTATCAATAGGATTTAACCCCTTATTAAGCTTGCACGGCACTCTGATCGAATATTAT